AAATGCACGTCAGTATGACAAAGGGTAAGCTCGGCAGGTGTAAGGTGATGCCGCCGATGGAACACGGTCAGTTTATTTATTTCTGAGCTTTTGCGGGCTTTTTGTTTTTTTGTTTTTGTTCAAGAATCATTTTGACTCCTTATCACAATTACTACTTATCATATAATTCTACGACGAGCCATATAAAAAAAAAAAAGAAAAAAAAAGGTAAACATCGGCAATAATTTGTTAGTGGACTGTACAATCAAGAAACGAACTTCATTTGCTGATTGTGTCTTTCATCGACACATTATTGCCAATGTTTGCCTATGTGTGGCTATGAAAAAGTTTCTAATTAGGGAATATGGCATATTCCCTAATTGTGAATTTTTATATAGCCACCAGTTCATTTCTGACACTAAAATTAACAGAATTCTTAAGGTTTGATTGTCCGCTGAGGGGAGGTAATAGAGTTTAGTACTGACTTGAAAGCGAAGTGAACAAATACTGCACCGGTCAGCCGCGTGTTATAGAATTCAGTTGAAAATTCATGCGCCCTTTACACTCGATAGGAAAATTATTACACCTCAGTACGGTACTTTTGTGCTGGCTCACAAACAGCAGCATAAAAAATGACTGACCCAACGGGGTTGTTTTTTCTTCTGCTCTTTCGCCCACTGCCTGTGGACTTTGGTTGAAATTGACTGACTATTCTCAGATAATTTGCCTCTTTCTGCAACTGTGTAAATTCGACAGCAATAAGGCATCAACGCATGATTAGTGAAACAGCATAACTAATTTAGGACTGCGTAATTTGTTCGTCCTATGGCCGCTGTTTGAAAACTCCATTATCTTTGACACAAAGAATCATGTTAAACGAACAGTTTAAACTACGCAGGGTGTTGAGAGAACACGAGAAAAGCGGAATAACTTAAACATAACATAACATAATTTTGTTTACATTGGTTCACACAATTTTCAAAAGTCACTCGATGGAACCTGAGGTCAAGGCTGAAGTCCCACATTGTCGCCGGCAAAAAATATCGCCAAGTCTTTCCGCAGCGATCAAATTCGCCGCGATCGGCTTATAAAATCACCAGGTGTGTCGTCGGTTTAAGATGCTTCAGTAAAGCAAATGTTCTATGCTTTTTAAAACAGTGAATCAAGTTTGCTTAAAGGCTCTTTCAGGAATCATATTTATGACAAATGTCAAACGTGAAATATAAAATGTGTAGATAAATTTGTAATCTTTTCTTGTGAAAGACCTTGGTTAAGACCATAAATCGCCTTGAGTCATCCAAATTCGCCTCAAGTCCCTAAATCAGCAAAATTTCCCAATACCCCAAGAGGTAAAATATACAAGAAAAAAAACACACTAAACACCAAAAAATTATGTACAATGAGATATCAAAGTTGAAGCTAATTAGGTATAGAGGGTTTTAGTCTTCGGTGGGCTGAGGTCAAACCTAAATTGAATTTTTCTTATCTTTAATGATTGACTGATTTTGTAGGGGCTAAATGTGATTGTATTTAATGCTCGCAATCTCCATTTAATTTGAGAGGTGGCGTGGAACATTTTTCCGAAATAGCTACTTTTAATTTCAATATGATGTTACATGTACACAAGAGAGGACGTCAGCATCCATCGAACAAATTTGAAATATTTTGGCGAGTTGCCCAACATTCGATTTCAGTCCTACTTTCATATTTTGTAGCCCAATATGTGCTAATAATTGTGGTGTAGTTTTTGTGTCAAAATATATTTCAGTTTTCGAGAAATAATTTTTTTTCGTTCGACCGCTCAAATATGCACATTTTCACCATGAATATCACCCGAGTTGTTTGACCTCATGTAATGAATATACTTAACCTCCGGTATTTCTGTCAACATAATCCTTTCTTTTATCTTCTAAACTTAATTCTTTGTCATTTTGAAGCTGACAAAAAAATATTTGTTATTTAATCGTTGTTTCAGTGGCAGCGAAGCAGTTGAAAGCGGGTTGTTGCTACAACGCTATTGTAATACATAGGTCTCAGACAGGAGAGCAAAGCGTGATGCTATGGAAAAAAAAAAAAAAAAAATTAGGGGCCTTTTTTCATGATATCGGAATGAGTTTTTCAAGAACGAGTTCATACTGGTTGCCACATGATACCAGAGTAAAATTTATTCGAAACGAGTCATTTCTGAATGAGTTTATTTGGGTTTTCATTCCAGTATAAGATACGACACTTATCTGTATGAATCCTCTTTAGGAGCGAAGAAAGCATAGAAAAAACAGAAAAGGACATAAATACTTGTTTTTACAGGCTCAATTATCTTGCATGAAAACGCGGTATGAAATTCATTTTGTTCCGGTACGAAACTCATTTTCGAATGGTCTAAAAAGGTACCTTAGGGATGGATTATTAGATTTTTGAGGTGGGGGGGCGACTGGGGCAAATCGCTTTTTTTTTTTTCCACTATAGGGGCAAATCTAATAATGGGTGAGAATGCTTGTCGTAGGGGGTCAAAATCAGCGATCTGGTATCTTTTATGGTGTCTCAAACTTTAGTGGACTACCACAGACCTTGCTAGTACGTTTTAGAGTGTTTTTCGCTCAATAAAATACCTGAAATAAGCATTACTAGGACGATTTTAATGATCTGATTTGAGCCTGTAGAGCACATCGATCAAGGTGTTTTTATTTTAGGGATTTTTCATTTTTTTGGTTTTGAATTGGTACTTTTGAGGGGACATCGGTTGTTGCCACTCACACACATATAAGACTCATGTATAAATATAAATTTTATAGAGGTCGTTCTTGAAATTTCCGGCGCGCATCCCCGCCCTGTTATGTAAAGGTGTCCCCCGAGGGGTGATGATACGTGCAGCACACTTGAAATTTAGCAAGGACAAAATTTGATGTGATTTTTGGTGGAGAGAAACAAGCCATGACTCCACCCAACATTGTAAAATCAACGATATCTGTTACTGTCTCAAAGATGCCGGCACGCAACAAAATAAGATCAACTTCATTTTCTGGACCTGAAAAATTGCAACTCCGCAAGTCACATGAAATGCCTTTATACAACTATGCAAGGGAACGACTTGAGATATGCAACTTCGGTCTTCTCGATAACTAAACCCACAAGTTCCACCAGCGAACAATTTAAATGGACAGCAAATCTCCATGTTAGCATGTGAGGTAAGACGCTATTACAACAGATCAATTAGCTAAATCAGTGTGTAGCTTGTCAATCAAATTGAATTTTGTAACCATTCTTCGACTTCCGCCGACAAGGGAATCATTGATGGATCTGGACATTTTAGTTTTCTGAAAGCAGTAATTCCTGAAAGGTTTTTTAGAAACCATACAAAGTGGAAAAAAAAAAACCATCTCTTGGTATTTCGGAGGTTGATTCATCTTTGAATTTGTAAGTGTCACGCTTGCCATGCAACTGATATAATCAGATGGAGAAGATATATAAACTGGAACTCAAATCTGGCCGGAATGTGGTAGAGCATAATGCGATCATCAAAACAGCTAATAAATCATAAATAAACAAGCTCAGAGTGTTATATTAGATTTTTTTTACAAATTGTAGTAATTTATGCCAGCAAACGGCGACAAGTAGGCACGCCATGTATATTTCACAGTCGCTAGCAAGTAAATTTTGTCGGACTTTGAGTTCGTTTCAAGATAGAACAACACAAATACACAAGCACATTTTTACACTAAATTTTTAACCATCCTTTTGGCTTTTAAAAGCTTGAAACTCAGTAAATTCTGTTATATCGGTCATTGTGAAAACTGTCTTTGTTTTGATGCTACTTTTCGATACAGGATAAGTATGTCGGACAAAAGTATTCACCAAAAAATAACTATTTCTCTGCCAGCTTCAATAATGACTGGGGATTAAGTTTAGAAAATAAAAAAGGATTATGTTGACAGAAATACCGGAGGTCAAGTACATTCGTTGTATGAGTTCACACAACTCCGGTAATATTCACGGTGAAAATGTGCATATTTGAGCGATCGAACGAAAAAAATTATTTCTCGAAAACTAAAATATATTTTCACAAAAAAAACTACACCACAACAATTGGGCTATAAAATATGAAAGTGGAGTTAAAAGCGAATTTTGGGTGACTTGCCGCTGTTTGTCTAATGCACGCTGACATTAGATCTTAGGGCGTCGAGAAAGATGGGAAAGGAAATATTCAAAAACTCTTCCAAAGCAAGATACTGTAACCATTTTTTTTTTCAATAGTGTTTTCATAGTCCAATTAATCACACAAATCCTTACAGGTAGTTACAGCGACACCTCGTTAAAACTCTTGTTTTACTTCCATATAATTTCTTTTTTAAGTGATATATTTTTTTTCTCATAGTGAAATTAAATACAACCAGGCACAACTCTAGGGGTTTTCCCTGGGGTTTCCGGTAATCAGTGTATCAAAAGGAGCGGGCGTGGAAGTTAGTGGTGAAAAAGGAATCGAGTTTCTGATTAAATAAATCATGTACACCTTTGAATGAGTATAGATGATAGGAAAGTCTTAGCCTATTAGATTATGGATATTTCTGAATTGTTACTTCGACATCATGTAAAGTAAACACAATGTCGCTGAATGGGGTGATTTTCAACAGAGTGGGGAAAGTAACGCTACTTTGCTTTAGTTTTGCCTTACTTTGCAATGTGATTGGTGTAGAACTGAAACTCGCGCCATACTTTAAATCTGTCAGATTGAAAATCAAATCCAATCGCGATCTTGTCACTTTCGTTTTCTCACGCTCTGGGAAGATAACCTGTTTTTTACTCCTTCTCCTGATTATACTCTTACTTTTATTTTACTTTAATTTTGGTTTTACAACACTCAACTGAAATGCTTTCTGAGAGAAAACCCAGTTGACTGGGCATATTTAAAAAAAAGATATTTACGTTCATCTACTTAATTGTTCTTCGTCTCGTTTCTGATACACATTATCTCTTATCTACTTCACAAAGACTCCTGTTGATCAAATAACTTTTCGTTTTCCCTCTTATATCTGACACTCCCAGTAGTGTATGTAGCAATACATCACTGGTTCTCCAGTTGTTAGGGTACCTTCGCAAGAGCAATCGTAGGATCTTTTTCCACCTGAAATAGTACTTGATAATTTAACAGCTTTCGCGTCGTTTGTATCACAGTTTACGCCAATAAAGATTTTACCCTGGCAGGAAAAAAAAAATATAATGATGATACTGATGATAATGATAAACTACGTCAAGAGTTCGAAAAGCAGATGAGCAAAACATTTCTTTCCTCTTCAATGGGTGTACACACGACGTGGCGAAAGCTGACGCCTACAATCTGGGCAATACTTATTGTGAGTTTTCCATGCCGAAATCGGATATCACAAATACAGCCTACACGTTTCTTTTTTTTTGTTTTTTGTTTAGTGAAGATGGAAATTTAAGACTTAAAATGAGAGGAAATTAGCTTTGATTCTCCAAATCGATGCGGCCTATGGCTAAAAAGTAATAACTCAACTTTATGACTTTAAGGGAGGCTTTACGACATCTGGACAACTCCTTCGACCGATAGATATCGTCTTGAGTGTTAATATGTCGTAAAGTAATTTTCAATAGAAGATAGAGATTTTATTTTCGTTTTTCAGAATCAAACGACTTTGACAATCTTTAACTCAACATACATTTTGTTCCGTCGCTGTAATTTTTTGGATGATCAACGAGGATGCTGGTAGGCCAAGGCTAGATAAAGTCTTAAAAACACAGGAACTGGCCCCGGGTCCAGGTGGACCCTGGGTACCATTGAACCCAGATGGTCCACGAAGGCCCTGAACACCAGGTAGTCCAGATGGTCCTGCAGGGCCCTGAGTACCATTATATCCTGGAGGTCCGGCAGGTCCGGGAGGTCCGGGAGGTCCAATGTCACCCTTTGTACCATTATATCCCGGAGGTCCGGCAGGTCCGGGAGTTCCGGCAGATCCAGTGTCACCATTAGTACCATTGACTCCAGGTGGTCCTCTGATGCTCGTGCTGCCAGTAGTATTTTTCACCTACACAATTTAAAAAAAATAACAATAATATTCACAGTAACCACTGCAATGACGATAATCATGAAAATGATTACAATTGTAGCGATAATGACAATTAGCACAGTTACAATAAGAATGACGGTGACAGTGACAGTGAAAGTAACAAATTGAAAGTGAAAGTGACGTTGACCGTGACAATGATAGTGAAAGTGAGTGAGGTGACAGTGATAGTAAAAGTGAAAGGGAAAGTGACAGTGACAGTGACAGTAACAGTGATAATGACGGCGACAGTAACAATTATAGTAAAAGTGAAGGGAAAGTGACAGTGGCAGTTACTGTGACAGTGAAAGTGACAGTGACAGTGGCAGTGGTAGTGGCAGTAACAGTAACACTGACGGTGACAGTGATAGTAACAGTGACAGTTGGAGCGATAGTGGCAGTGACAGTTAATGTGACAATGACAGTGACAGTGACAGTAGCAGTGGCAGTGACAGTGTATGTGACAGTAAAAGTGATAATGACAGTGACAGTGACAGAGACAATGACAGTGACAATGAAAGTGACAGTAACAGCGACAGTGAAAGTGGCTGTGGCACTGCCAAAATGGGAGGCTCTTATATGAAAAGTTGTATAGAAGGAAAACAACATTGACTTAAGTTGGTTGTGAGAAATGCACAGTTTGTTTTCATTTTTTTTTATCTACATTAGAGACCTTTATCATACTTATTTGCTCTTTATAGTTTGAATTGATAATGGAATGGTCACCAAAGATCAATCGATCTGTCTATAGGCTTACACCACACCATCCCTTATCACTGATATATCTATACCTTAACTCTTGGAAGTTAATCACACTAGATCGTTCTTATTTTTGACTCAATCACACGTTTTTGTGCTCTTCCGCCCCTCAAAAAGGCTCTTTAAGCCAGTACATACAGTCGATTTGAAGAACTTTTTGAACAATAAGCTAAGTTGTAGCTTAAAAGCTTAAAATTAGATTAAAAAAAGTATCCCCTGCCATTCCACAGACATAAAATAAAAGTAAACAGGTCATTTTGAAAACAAATTTAGAATTTGCTGGGGTAGCATTGCTGGGGTAGCATTGCTTGAATTTGAATGTTCAACACTGACTCTTGCAAACTGTGAGGGGTCATGCATTTGACAATCTTTGAAAATCCCCTTTAACTCACGATGAAAAACAGTCTCTGTTTTTGCTATATGTTTAGAGGCATATCTGTACCATGCACTTTGTGATGACCATTAAGTAGCTTAAATTCAATTGAAAGAGACCATGATATTGTGCAGCTTAGGGCAGTGACTTAGCATTGCGAGATATCTCAGATCAGGTCTCTGATTGGTTGATTCAACATTCGGTATGAAATGGCACACAAAAATACATTCAGGTATATGTACCTTTTGATCCAGTTGCATGATTCTTTGTTGGAAATGCAGAAACCTCTCATTTATGCTTGTATTCAGACCAATCAAAACTTGAGCAGCATGCTGTACTGCAAGATGGATATCCTCTAGCTCTGTATTTTTGCCCTAAAAATAAAACAGACCAAATTATTGTGTTAGAGAATAAGTGGGCCTACTAAAGTTGGTGAAATAAGTAGAGCAGTCCACGCTTTGCTTTTGAACATAATGATGATAGGGACTGTAACAGTGAGGGATTCAGATAACGATACATTGGTATTGGAACTTACCTCATGTTTCATGTTTTCCATATCTTTTTTCATGTGCCATTAAGTAAGCAACTCGTGTTAAACTAAGTGCACTAATAGTAATTTTTTCCTAAATATATAGATAGAACTGGAAATGGATGAATTTAAACTTGCCTTTATCGCTAGCTCCTCTAACACTGCTGAGACCTAACATTAGGAAGAAAAGAAAAGAAACTACTCACCATCATATCATTTTTTTCATGAATGGTTTATTGTTATTGATGATTTACAATCATTATCATTATTGTAATTATTAACATTAAGATGATCATTAAGATTATTACAGGAAGAGGAATGAATGGCAAACTTACATTTTTCTTTAGTTCTTTTACATCCCCTGAAACCTTTAACAATAAAAAATTGTAAATCAATATTCCTGATCAAGTTTCTTGGTAAAATAATACTTTCTTGTAATTTCTTATTTCTAATGATCAAATGATGATGATGGCTATACAGGTGTGCACTTTGCATGATAGGGTTCGAACCGCTATGCTTCCAAAGTTGGTCCAAAAAATTACGAGAATACTTATAATGTCTGCAACAATGACACCCAAGATGGCCTATCGTAAGGTTCATCAGGCTTCTCCACAACAGCCTCGGCTGATCAGAAATAACATTTAGATTGCCCCATTGAAAAAGTTAAAGCAGAAGTGCAAAGTGCCTCCAGCCTGCTCTCTATGAAAGTATTAAAGCTCTGTTTAAAATCTATATTTCTATAAAATATGACTAATTATCAGCGAGTTAAAAGTCCTTTTGAGGCCCTTAGTCTTATGTACAAACATGTACCCATGTATTTCACGTCAGTGCATTTTGCTTTTAACTGATTACTGATAAAGATTAAGAATTACTCCTACCGAGTAATCTCTGAATGCAGAGAGGTTCCTTTTCAACTCTTGCACATCCTTTTGAAGTTCTGACGTTTCTAGAAAAAGGGAGACAATAAGAAAAACAGAAAATGTAAACAAAAAATAATGAAGGATTTCAAATGAAAAGATGAAGAGATGGATAAATAGATAAAAGATAAATATCAATAAACACGTGTTAAAACTTCATACACTGATAGGCAGGGAGAAATAGGACCAGCTTATTTTATTTTATTAACTATAATTGCAAACAATCTCTATCTAGAGAATTATTTGTTCAATTCTGAAAAAATTCGTAAGTAAAAGGCCTTTTTTTCTGCGTGCTATATAAGTTAACGATCTTTCCAAGTTAGTGCATCATTCGTAAGAAGGAAGGTTCATTGTATGCCTATAATAACAGCACTATATTTACGAGAAACAATGTCAAAATTCAGAAGTTAAATAAAATTTCGATCTGCAACTGGAAAAGAGTCGATTATGGCTTGAAGCAATTTAGATTACTTCGAATTTGACAAAGGTTTATTAGTAACGCTTCACCCCACGAATTTTGGATGAGATTCTGACAAACATTCTATGCTGAAGTCCGGATAAAAGATGATACAGAATACGAACTACATTCGCTTCGCATTATGCAGGTATCACTCGACAAGTATCTCCGCCGAAAAAAATGATTAGGCATCCATTATCTGCGGGCGAGAGTTCAAGAAGTCTCAAGAGACTCTTACTTCCAAGACAAAATGTCTGAGGTACCAAGGCAAAGGAAAATGGCTTAACAGAGCTCAGCCGCACGCTCACGTAGACGAAGAATTATTTTGGAGTGAAGGAAAATTAGGAAGTCATAATGGTGTTGCCATTACAAGCGTCAACTTTAAAAATATGGCAGAGCTCTTGGTTTCAGAGGCCAACACGACCCTAACAATGCGTTCAAGATTTTTCCATTTTGCAAATGGCAGATGGTAGCAAAGTTGTTCAGTTTGAAAAAAAACCAAACAAAACCAGGCAAGGTGGATTGAGAAACAAAACCCGAAGTTTCCCTCGCAAAATGTGGTCTACCGACGGTGATGAATGGCATCTCATACGACTTTTCGAAGAGTGGCCTGCATGTCGACACCGACCAATTGAAAATTCCGGCCGTTTGTACCTTGCAATTATTTCAGGGCCCTCCAAAAGTGTTGGTAGCCCAAATCTAAAATGGATGAGCATCGAATTGGCCAAATAATGAAATCAGTTGCAAGTTGTTTACCAGAGGAGCGTGCCAAGAAAATAACAAACCATTCTACAAGAAAAACGGTCGTTGCGAAATTAAAAGAAGCGGGCCAACCACTTCATAAAATTATCCAAGTTACTGCCAGAGAGTCTTCGCTGGATGATTGTGACAAAACTACGGAGAGCGAACGATATCAATTGTCTTGTATAACAAGCGGGTATGCCGCAACATCGACTTTATCAGTGATAGTTCAAAGGTCGATCGCCGGCAATTATTTCTTCCTCTTGTCTAGGTCCAGGAGATACAAACATGAAAGAAAACATCCAGCTAATCTTTATGGGTCAGGCAATATGCCTCCTTTCTTCACACCATCATAGTCTGTCACAATGGCAATAAAATTCTCCAACAGGCACCTTGTCAAGTGTTCACGTTATTGTTTGAGTCGAACACACACCGGTTGCCTTCTGGAGATTCCTCGCGAAGCAAAAAGACGAGGAAAGAGGCTCGTAATCATCGACTTGGACTCAGATTAGTCGATTGATATAATTCCAAGAGATTCTTTAAAAAAAGGTGTATTGCTTTCTTTTGTTTCTAGAGACAGCTGTAGTAGATGTATGCCGACTGTTTTTCGAAACTTACCACAGCGCGATTTTTAAATTCTGTGAATTTTTCGTTCCTTGGCTGTAACGCCTGGTTGATTATTTAATTGATTGACACGACTGGTTGTGCTAAGTAATCGTTTTTGCTTAAGTGGTTTTTAGACTTTTTTTTTCTTTTTTTTTCATCTCTGTTATAAAAGCCGTTTTTAAACGTTGCATTTCGCTTTTGTCGAAGATTTTAATGATCATGATTTGTATAATCATTATTAAAAGCCCTCTCTCATATAAATATTTTTGTTTTTTTCCCTAAATTGTAATGGTCATCATTAATTGGCAACAGGACTCAGAGTCGTCCAATTCTGTCAGTAACGATACGAGTGATTGACAATCCATCTTATGATCACGCACCAAATTGGACTCCACTCGGTCCTATTACCATTTTTAATTATCTACATGGAACTTTGAATTTTCTTGGTATGTATCTTGATCAAAATTTCAATTTCAAATTTTATAAGGGGGCGGGGAGGAGGTTGATTTTTATGTTAATAAATGAATTCACGGGTTTAATTCCAAAAGCCCCATTGAAAATATGAACAGTCATGCCTTTCACTATTGATATTTTTTATAACCTCATCTTTTGTCAGATACTATTACGCATATTTTTTGTGCCCCGACTAACAATTTTAGATATTGGAAAGAGATGAAAAATGGTCAAAGTTCTCAATTCAATGACTCGGAGCGTTTCCGTCACTTACAGTGTCTTCGGCCTTTCATACTTCATGATACTAACTTGGTGTTAAGTGGCTCACATCATCAAGATTCACTTTTGAAAAACGCACTTTATATGTCAAAGATAGATTATTCACTATTTAAATACGATATTTTCCCTCTTTTCCTAAGCAACCGTGACAACATCCTGCATATCACAGAATGTGTTATTTAATTGGAAAGCTCAGTTGTTACAACTTAGCCTTATCTAAATATCAAATAATGTAGACGCAATAGGAATGCCCTTGTTGTTCATGATTACGGATAAGTATTATGATGGACGGATTTCCCCTTCTATAACAATTTTTCTTAGAAATCCTGTACTAATCATATGTGGAGGGAAAGCTCTGGTAATAATAGCAATACTCAAATCATATCGAAACGGAAATTCCTCTAATTTCCTCTTTGCACAGGAAATGTTCAGGACCGAAGTGAATTATCTTTTTTTTCTTCATCCTGTCGTTTAATTAGTACACCTTTTCAATCACTTTTAAGATTTGAATGGATCAAGACCTACAAGTGTTTTTAAACACTTGTCAAATACTTACAACAGGGAGAAGCAATGGTAGCCGTACCTGTAGAAACTTCGCTCCGTGCCGTAATGATTGTCACAGCTAAAACCAAAGTGGCAAGGGCTGTTAAGAGCGAAGCAACAGCAATGGCAGATACGATTAAGAATAATAGGTGATGTTTCACTGTATCAGAATCTTTACACAGCTGTGTTTCCACCTTCGGCTTTGCCTGAGGAGTGTCCTTTCTGAAAACTAAATCGTCACACCTTTCGGCGTGATCTTCCTGTTTAGATTCCATTTCGAAATAAATGTTCTCCCGCCCGACCTCGGTCTTTGAATCCATTATTGCGTGGTATAATTGTGACTTTTGTGGAACAGATAAACTTTAGACGCTTCTGGAGGCGAAACAAGCTTAGGCAGGCCAAAAAGATGCTGAAATGTGATGCGATCATATGATCATTACTGACGAATGATAGAGCGAAGAATGACTGGTGCGTTAGCCGTCTCAAAATAGGATAATGACAGGAAGTATTTGTTTCGACGTAAGTTTATAGATTGTGCAATAAAAGATTGAACTGACCTTAAATGACGAAATTATTATTGAACAAAATGATTATGCTATCTTGATAGTGATCTAGGTTATCACTATCGACCCGCTTTCCAAAACTTTCTTACCTTTAATGATCCACTGGTTTCGTAGAGGCCACCTCTGATTACATTTAATGCTAAGGTAATTTGAGAGTTCCGAAATGGCTACTTTTAATTTCAACTGAATGCTATAAAGGCGTTGAGAAGGATGGGAAAAGAAGTATTCAGAAACTCTTCCAAAGCAAGGTACTGGAACCATTTTTTCAACATTGTTTTCATAGTCCCATCAATCACACAAATCCTTAGATATGGCGGCACCCTTTTTTTCCCTTTTTAAGCATAATGCAATACTAGGTAATTTCAAATGCAGTCAACTCAGTGTTTTCGCTTTCGAATTATGCATTATTTGAATGTCTAAAGCTAGCTTTCTTTTTCTTCAGGGGGTTGGAGGGGGGAGATGAATTTTGTGTAAAACCCACTCAATCTATTCGACTAGGTCGGAAGAAGGGACATCATTTTTACCGCTTCACGAAGTTCCTTAGTCCCAAAGGGTTTCACCAAGCATTATGAAATAACCATCGCTCAAGGCTGTGCTTATTTCCTCACTGCTGCTTTATTATTAATTGAACACTTTATACATTTGAATCATTAAAATAAAAACCTTATCTTTGTTCGGCTGAAGAACAGTATTTTGTTCACTAAAGTGGCCATGATTACCAAGAAATGTGTGAGAAGAGTAAATGTGACCTTTACATACTAGATGAAAATAATACACAAAACTGAAGAGAAGGCAAGTTGTTAAGTTAAAACTTTTATTTCTTGCAGCGAAGCAGAGAAGCAGTTAAAAGTGGGTTGTTGCTTCAACGCTATTAAAATATATAGTATTCAGACAGGAAAGCAAAGTGTGATGCTCTGAGAATAAAAACTGTTAGGGGCCTTTTATACGATATCAGAATGAGTGTTGTTCAAGAACGAGTTCATACATCAGCAAAATTCCCCAATACCCCAAGAGATAAAAAAAAAACAAACAAAAGAAAAACAAAATAATGCAAAAAAAAATTTGTGTTCAGTGAGATATGAAAGTAGAAGCAAATGAAGTAAAGAGGGTTTTAGTCTTCGTTGGGTTGAGGTCAAACCTAAATTGAATTTTTCTTACTTTTGATAATTAACTGGTTTTGTAGAGGCCACCTTTTGATTGCATTAATGCTCGCAATCTCTATTTAATTTGAGGGGTGGCATGGAACATTTTCCAAAATAGCTATTTTAATTTCAATATAATGCTACACGCACACGAGAGAGGATGTCAGCATCCATCGAACAAATTTGGCAAGTGGCCCATGTTGATTTCACCTCTACTTTTATATTTTGTAGCCCAATATGTGCTAGTATTTGTGGTGTAGTTTTTGTGTGAAAATATATTTTAGTTTTCGAGAAATGAGTTTTTCGTTCGACCGCTCAAATGTGCACATTTTCACCGTGAATGTTACTCGAGTGTGACCTCATGTAACGAATATACTTGAACTCCGGTATTTCTGTCAACACGTTATGCTCGTCAATCAAATTGACTTTTGTAACCATTCTTTGACTTCCGCCGGCAAAGGAATCATTGATGGATCTGGACATTTTAGTTTTCTGAATGCAGTGATTCCTGAAGGGTTTTTCTAGATATCATGCAAAGAGGCAAAAAACCATCCCTTGGTATTTCGGAGGTTGATTCATCTTTGAATTTATATGTTTCACGCTTGTCATGCATCTGACATAATAAGATGGAGAAGATATATAAACTGGAACTTCAATCTGGCCGGAATGTGGTAGAGCATAACGTGATCATCGAAACAGCTAATAAAATCATAAATAACCAAGCTAAGAGTGTTATGTTAGATTTTTTTTACAAATTGTAGTAATTTATGCCAGTAAACGGTGGCGAGAAGTAGGCACGCCATGTATATTTCACAGTCGCTAGTAAGTAAATTTTGCCGAAATTTGAGTTTGTCTCAAGATAGAACGACACAAATACCCAAGGACATTTTTACACTAACTTTTTAACCATCATTTTGTCTTTTAAAAGCTTGAAGCTCAGTACATTCTGTTGTATCGGTCATTGTGAAACTGTCCTTGTTTTGATGCTACTTTTCGACACAGGATCAAAAACTCTTCCAAAGCAAGATACTGTAATCGTTTTTTTTCAACATTGTTTTCATAGTCCAATCAATCACACAAATCCTTACAGGTAATTATGGCGACACCTCTTTGAAACTCTTGTTTTATTTCCTTATAATTTCTTAATAAAAGCTAAGTTTTTCGTTTGTCTCACGATGTAGTCACGTGTGATGTAGATCGCGTCGTTTCGACTACATACTGCTAGTCTACTTCAGGCGATGAGGTCGACTGGTCACATGTGTGATCTTATAAAGCATGATGCTCTGCTGTGATTAGTTCTTTTTTAACAGCTCTGATTGGTGTATTTCGATCCTTGTTGTTTCATTCAGTGATTTGCTCCCGTAATAAACTTTACTTCGTTCCAGAGTGGCTTGTGTCCGGTGTTGTGGGTATGCTCTAAAACGGCGGAGATCTCGGTACGGGCGATTGGGTCGGAAAATGGGCAAGAATTTAGTTTAATGTCAGGAGAGAGGTCGTTTTTGAACCTTTTCCGCGATAGTCGAACACCGCTAGATTCAATAAGGGACAAACTTGTGACACTAATTTATTTTGTTATTGTTCAATGCCCGAGTGATGAGACAACATGGTACATTGCGAGTTGTGCGAGGAATGGTTACTGAAGAAATCGTTCACGCTGTTTTATAACTAAGTTAATCAGTGACTTCGGACACTGCGTTTTGTTCGACATACTCTTGTTTAACCGGTTTTATCACGTGCGTTTTTTTGTAATAAGATCCTGAATTCGTTTTAAGAGTTTCAATGTTTTTTCGATCGAGCGAATTGATGTATGAGTAATTCCTACAAAATAAAAAAGTTTAGCGGAGTTTCGAATACGATTATTATAGTTACACATGAGCTTCGAGAGATTTAAGACTGCCCCGCAGGGCGAGTGGTTCTGCATTGTCTGCAGATCGCCAGACTCTAGACGTCTTCATAATTGTTAAGGTGTTATTTTGGATCCCTCAACAGTTAATAATCGTTAAAATTAGAAAATGAGATTGAGTTCGATGTAATAGTCTCCAGTTTGGTTAAGACGTAGACATTAAAGTTGATTTGCATCTGAAAATAAGCTGAGAGTTCCAACAGTTCAGAATAGAAACATTTTACTTATCATAGGCTTTACGAACGACTTGTAGTAAGAGTGGTTTCTTCGTTCTTGTTCAGAAACTGTTTAATGTTATTATTTTAGAAAATCAGACTGAGTTATTTTTTAAACTTTTCTGACTGGACGCAATAGTCTCCACCATTGTTATGGCGTTTCGTACCGATGTTGATTCGCACCAGAAGAAGCAAAGATTTATTGTAACTATTTCAATAGTTCGAATGCAGTAGTTTGTTCACATCTAATTCTTGCTTATACTGTACGACTCGCTATAATAAATGTGGTAGAACTGGAACGAAATAGCCGGTTTTTTTTTTTTAACCTTTATTGAGGAATGTTGTGTTGTGATTGAGAGGAACATCGAAAAAAAGCTTGCAAATAGAATTATTTACCAAATATGATACAAAGGATGCTTAAAAGGAAAGTTTTGTAGGGGGTCCAAATCTGCGAAGGGGGGTCCATATCCGCTAGCGGATTTAAACTGGGGGTCCAAATCCGCGGGGGGGGTCCAAATCCGTAGGGGGTCCAAATCCGCGGGGGTCCAAATCCGCTGTGGCACCGGCAATTATTTCTTCCTCTTATCTCGGCCCAGAAGATATAAACATGAAGGAAAACATCCCAGCTAATCTGTATGGGTCAGGCAATATGCCTCCTTTCTTCATACCATCACAATCTGTCACAATGGCAACAAAAACTCTCCAACAGGCAGAAACTCTCCTTGTCAAGTGTTCAACCAGTGTGTGCTCGACTCAAACAACAACGTGCCTTCTGGAGATTCCTCGCAAAGCCAAAGACGAAGGAAAAGGCTCGTAATCATCGACTTAGACTCAGATTAGTCGATTGATATAGTTACAAGAGATCCTTTCAAAAAAGCTGTAGTAGATGTATGCAGACCGTTTCTTCGAACCTTACAACGGCACAGTTTTTAAATTCTATGAATTATTTTGTTCCTTGGCTGTAACGCCTGGTTGATTAATTGATTGACACTTTTTAAACTTTGCATTTCGCTTTTGTCGAAGATTTTAATGATCATGTTTTGGATAATCATTATTAAAAGCCCTTTCTCATATAAATATATACATTTTTTTTTGTTTGGTTTTTTTTTCCCGAAATTGTAACGGCCATAATTAATTGCCAACAGGCACCCTACTTATACAATCTAAATGGCTAACACCCACGTAATCTAAACTTAGATCATTGGGTTCAAGCCGTCCTAAATGATCATCTAAGTCTTCCCAGTAGCTCATTAGATATGCATAAACATTTCGACCAATCTGATCCTTCACTCTTCGGTGGACGAGCGAAGGTGATCGCAAAAGAAATGCGTCGGTTAAAGCCCGTTTTCTTAGATGTGAAGAATATTGGGCGCGATGGAAAGAAAACCACCGTATCGATTCCGCTGAGAGTGGATCTTGGGAAGCAGCCTCATAAGAGTACGGAGGAAAATAGTCAGGACACCAACAGTCCAGTAGAACAAGATGTCCCTCTTGGCG